AAAACATCGAACATCCTCTTTTTCTTACTTATGCATGATAAGTAAATCTATTCTAGAGAATCAAGAAAAAATATTCGTTTGATAAATTATAGAAAAGACATTGTTCATAATCGTAAAAGGATAACGATAACACTTATGTAAGCTTTTACCTATGTAAGTTTAAGAAAATTATATGTAGAGATATGAAAGAGGCTTCGAAGATACGAACAGCGTGGAAAAATTCATACACGAGATTGTAGTGTTACAATGAATGGTGTAATAATACGATAAGGGAAAAAGCGTACTATGCATACATGTAGTAGTTTGCAATATGCATAAGTAAGATTACATATACGGATATGCCTTAGCTATGAAAATTACAGGAACTTAGCAGTTTGGTACTTGATAACAAAGTAATGGATAGATAATTTATTGGTACTTGAGTAGCAGTTATTTTATAGTACTGAATACTACACAATACACATATTAGGGGAATCGGTAAGAAATCCATTATTCCAGCTTTTTGTTAAGATAAAAGATAATGGATTTCTTTCTGGTTTCTCTAACATCTATGCAAATAGTAATTTAATTTATGATTCGATATATCGATGAATACGAAATTATTAAATCGATTATATATTCGTCAAGAACATAATTATATTATATTTCGGACGCTGAAACTGTTCCGAAATAAATTTGACCTGCGCTTTACCTACTGTTTCGCTACTTTGTCCCGCTCTAAATTATTTCTGACATTCGTCACCCTGTGACATGTTTAAATTTAACTATTATACAAATTATCTCCTACGCCTATATTTTCGTACAAATCGTAAGAACAGAGACGATGAACGTAATGAATCAATCCGAAATCTTTTACGTATGTCTCGTAAACTTCGTTAAATCATCTCATTTTACGCGGACTGTCGCGTTAGCAACACCGCGAACGACTAATAAAAATAGAGAAAAAGACCATCCCTCTCGAGCATCCGGCAAGTCGTCGATTCTTTTTTAACGCGTTTATTCGTCACACCTCCGCTTTCGTACATGAGAACCCCCCGGCACCGAATATTTTTGTCTCGTCTCTCCTACTAAAATCGTGATATCTACGCGTGTGTTCTGCGGCCGAGTGTACAGTCTCTTTCAAAAGACGTTTCGGAAAGACTTCATTCTACCTCGACGAGATGAAGATTGCGATGAATAAAATACAAGATGAACAAAAATAATTTCCATACTCCATCAAATAAATATGTATGTATAAAAATATGTAAGTGTACTAAGTATATATATGTATATAACATAATTGTAGATAATTAGATTAAACAGAATTATATTAATAATTATTATATTAATATATTATCTTAATAAATAATTCTATTAATAATTCTATTTAATCTAATATTGTTATATAGATTATGTGTATATACTATATGTTTATGTACATATAAATATGCATATCATGTAGATATAAATGTATAATTCTGAAAAACGTTAGAAAGCTGTACCTATAAATTATTTCTTTATAAAAGAAGTTATTCAGACGATATAATAGATGGGATAGGAAAACTGTAAATCTGAGAAAGGGACGTATCCAGTCGAATCGAACTGTTCGAGAATTTAGTGTCAGAGTTCAAGGTGATTGCTCTTGTCACGGTCAAGCTACGCGTTCCCTTAAATACCCCAAGGGTAGGCAAAGTTTCTCCCTGAACTCACCAGCACTTAGGCCACGCATACATACCTACACGCCAGCAGTGTTAGCTCGCATGCCCCGCGCGGCGGTATTTAAACAAGAAGAAAACGAGCAGGGTACGCAGATGAGAATGAAATTAGGTGAGCTGCAAAAGTTTCCATGAATTTGAAACAGTTGTAGTATAATTTCTAGTACTAATTCCTTCTTCCTTCCCACGTGACACGAGGCCGGTCTTCTGAAATACACTTCTAAGCAGTTTGTTTAGCGAGCCGGGAGATGTAACGTACTTCTACGACCTACGAGGATTTTACTTCTTTTTCGGTGAGAAACCATTCGACCGCGAACAGTGAGCTGTCTTGGAATAGGCGAATGATGAATCGCGTTCCTTTGAATAGATCTTTGACTAAGAAGTTAATAGTTTCCATACATACTTCGTGGATCTCGTTTGCTCGAGACATTAGTACCAATGAAGGTGAAGGAGGAAATTTTTAAGACTTTGAAGATTAGGGAGACCGTCTTTTTGGTGAAAAGAATATCTAATTTTATTATGTGAATATTATATAACAAGACGAAGGAAAATTATTTAGTTGAAATTAAGAAATAATTCCTAATGATCGATGAAGTGAGTTATATTATTTAGCTTTCGCTCTCATATAAATTCTTATATTCAATAATGAATAACTTCAGTATGTAAATATTATATAATTAAGATGAATGAGAATTGTTCAATTAGAAATAAGAAATAATTTATAATTATCATTAAAATGAATTATACTATTCATCCTTCATCCTCACATCAACATAAATCCTCATATTCAATAATCATCAAGACGTCGCGATTTTAAATAAATGTCGCGTATCAGAGAGCGTATTCATCGCTGCGAAAGAGAATGAGCGCAACGAGCAACAGTTAGCCCGATGTAATTACCAATAATCGGAAAACAGTTCAGTTTTATGCCGCAGGTTCAGATAAATAAGCAATCTATGCGAGCATGTGTAAAAAGAAATCGCGTTTGTGAGGCTGCTGCCGGAGATCGGAACAGAGAAAGTTATCTAAACGGGCAGCAGGCGGTGTTCTCGCTGGGATTGACTTAATTAAATTACGTGCTTTCGGGGAAGAGGGCAAGTTTAATCGTTTTCTACGGCGAATCGATGTAAACGGATGTCTGTTTACGAAAGCAGTCGCAATTCAAACGGAGAAAGACCGCAATCTTATCGTAGAAGTTCATTATAGTGCAGAAAATTTACGTCACGTGTTACTCAATTCATATATTAATATTTGATTGTGAAGGATTTAGTATTAGATTGTAAACGAAATTAAATGAATTTAATTTAATATGCAAAAATTTTCTTTTTCACACGAAAAATCTTTATTATATCTTGATCTAATTTTTAATATTAGATACATACAAATTTTTTAATGATAGATTCATTTCACTTCAATTACTTTATAGAATGAAGATTTTTCGTGTGAAAAACAAAACTATATGTGTACCTTTTTCCTTATAATTCTTAAATCATTTTATACTGAATGATGGATAATGGAAGAATCAAGCAAGATAGTAAATGTCAAGCTTTTACGCGCGTATTAAGATTTTCATCATGCCGTCTATGCGCGACTGTTATTAGAAAGATTACAAATGACGGATGAAGGTATGTACGTACGTAACTTCATCATTTAATCTCGTGATTGAAGAAACATCAGGACCGAGCTAAAAAAGGATTAAGCGGTTAATATCGATGAGAAACGATCGGTCTGATCAGAGAAACAGGAAGCGATACATGGGCGGGTCGACATGCGCCGCGCCGGTTCGATATTGCGATACGTGCATGTATACATACTTATGTATGTACGTAGGGATACTTATGTATTCATGTATCTCGATCTCGGAGATCCGAACGTAGTAGCGGCGAGAGCGATCCGTGATCTTGTACGATCGATCGATAGATCAACCCTCAATGAACGTTAATTATCATGATAATTCTTACCGTTTATTTTCAGGAAGCAACCACGACGTCTAATCTACTGATTTACTGGACTATTGAAGTGCCGCTTTCGAACACGTACATATTTACGCTTTACGAGTTTCAGCAAGAAAGCAGTCGATCCATAGATAATATAATGATTTAAAGAGGAACCATTTGTTCACTAAGACAATATACAGTGATTCATCAATCTTCACTCATGGGTTCAGCAAGTCATTCAGGTTTTGTGCCACTCACCGTAGATTTCCTTTTTATTTCACTACCGAGAAAAACTTTATTATACTTATTGTTAGACTGCAAATTTCATGCATATGTGATAAACTATAAACGCTCCACGAGATGCTTAAAAAACAAATACATATATGTTGCAGTAAATAAATAGTAAAAGGAACTTTGATCTGAAAGCCATTTTTTTAATCGATTACCATAAATATTTATAAGATTATTCATTATAATAGTTTATGATAGTTATAACATTATTTA